GAGGACATGTCCTCAGAGCTGCTGCTGTCTGTCCAACTCATCTTGTCCTCTGTTGTCTCTCAGTCCAAGAACAGGTGGAGGTGGAATCAGGGGTGGAGTCTGTCCTGCTGCCCTGCAGAACCACAGAGAGTCTGGATGGAGACGTTAGAGTGGAGTGGATGGATGACAGAGACAGGAAGGTCCATGTGTATCAGAACGGTTCTGATCAGCCTGGAGAACAGAACGAGTTCTACAGAACCAGAACCAAGATGGATGAAAACCTGCTGAGGAATAAAGACCTCAGTCTGACTCTGTCATGGCCGACATATGGAGACATGAACCTCTACACCTGCAGAGTCTACAGAGACGGAGACGTCCTGATGATGAAACAAGTTCTGCTCCAGGTCAAAGGTCAGTGGTTTAAATGTATTTTTCCAATCAGCTGATTGGTTCTGATCAATAGTGATGATTGGCTGATCAGAAGGTCAAAGGTCAATGTGATGTATTTGTCATGTTGGGGTGTACCTTTCTAACCCACATGCAGATCAACTCCAGAGTCCGGGAATGATTAAAGAGATTTATTATAACAAATAGAAAAAGAAACACAGGTAAACGGTCCAGGTGCATTTGGGCTGGAACTCAGGTCAGCTATGAGGGAAACAGACGGTAAGTTTGGGGTTGTTGGAAACTTGGGAATGATGCTGGTGGCAAGCTTGCCTCCAATTGGGAGGAAAAAGGACTGGGGAGAAATCCTGTGGAATCCGGAGTTTGTTTCAGGTGTGGAAGACTGTGGGCTGCGGCAGCGTTGGAGGTCAGACAGGTAAGTCTGGGAGCTTGAACTGTTCTGCTTGAAGGGGGACTGCTGATCTGTAGGTCTAGAAGGGTCTTTGGTAGAATCTGATTTCACCAGCGTCACAGGACAACCAGCTGTAAAAAGTCAGAGACACAAGAGGATCAGAATCCTGGAAGAGATCAGTAAGTATTGACCTGAGGTAAGCCTGTACCATAACTGGCTAACAATCTGGCAGAGAAGTGTCGGCAGCCTCCTCTAGTTATACCGCTCCTGATGGCAGAACGGTTTCAGGTGCGTAGGTCCGCAGACGCCCTCAGGTTAGAGATGTGCCGATCAGGTTTTTTCCTCCCGATACCGATCACCCATGAGGGCCGATCACCGATACCGATCACATAATTANGACGAGAACCTCTACAGCTGCAGAGTCTACAACAGGAAGGGAGACGCCCTGATAGTGAAGCGAGTTCAGCTAAAGGTCAAAGGTCAGTGGTTTAAATGTATTTTTCCAATCAGCTGATTGGTTCTGATCAATAGTGATGATTGGCTGATTAGAAGGTCAAAGGTCAATGTGATGTAATGAGTCATGAAGATGAGGAAGCAGAGCAGGAGGAAGAGGTCCAGGACAGACGGGGACCAGAGTCCACCAGCTGCAGGGGACAGTCTGCAGCTTCCTGCTGTCCTCACTGAGGACATTCTGTCCACCTGCTGCTGGTTGGACACAGCAGAGACAACAGTGTCTCTGTTCAGTGGAGACATGGGACACATTTCAGATGGAACCAGTCCAACATGTTGGACCTTCATCCAGTCAGAGAACATGTCCTCAGAGCTGCTGCTGTCTGTCCAACTCATCTTGTCCTCTGTTGTCTCTCAGACCCAGAACAGGTGGAGGTGGAATCAGGGGAGGAGTCTGTCCTGTTGTCCTGGACAATCACAAAGGATCTGGATGGAGACGTTAGAGTGGAGTGGAGGGACAGCAGAGACAAGAAGGTCCATGTGTATCAGAACGGTTCTGATCAGCCTGGAGAACAGGACCCGTCTTATAGAACTAGAACCAAGATGGATGAAAACCTGCTGAAGACTAAAGACCTCAGTCTGACTCTGAGACGACCCAGAGAGAGAGACAGAGGCATCTTCACCTGCAGAGTCTCCAACAGAGCTGGAGTCATCCGGAGGATGAAACAAGTTGCTCTCCATGTCAAAGGTCAGTGGTTTAAATGTATTTTTCCAATCAGCTGATTGGTTGTAATCAATAATGATGGTTGGCTGATCACAAGGTCAAAGGTCAGTGTGAGCAGGAGATAGAGGTCCAGGTTGGTTCTGTTTGGTTCTACCAGTAGAACCAACTGGATCAGTTCTGGTTCTGATAGGAAGAGATGAAGCAGAGGAAAGAAAACGGTAAAAAGACGAGAGAGAGCAGCTGGAAGGACAACCAGGAAGGTAGAGAGAGAAACATCAGAGCTGCAGTCAGAGGAAGTTCCTCCTCCATCTTTCTCCACCAGAGAGAATAAATGAATCCTCCACTGAGGACGTTCAGCAGGTGGATCACTGGGTGAAGGAGTGAATGCAGAGTGAATGAATGAATGTAGAGTGAATGTAGAGTGAATGCAGAGTGAATGCAGAGTGAATGAGTGAATGTAGAATGAATGCAGAGTGAATGTAGAGTGAATGAATGAATGCAGAGTGAAAGTAGAATGAATGAGTGAATGTAGAATGAATGAGTGAATGTAGAGTGAATGAGTGAATGTAGAATGAATGAGTGAATGTAGAGTGAATGCAGAGTGAATGTAGAATGAATGAGTGAATGTAGAATGAATTAATGAATGTAGAGTGAATGTAGAGTGAATGCAGAGTGAATGCAGAGTGAATGCAGAGTGAATGTAGAATGAATGAATGAATGCAGAGTGAATGTAGAATGAATGCAGAGTGAATGCAGAGTGAATGTAGAGTGAATGTAGAGTGAATGCAG